CCGAAACCTAAAAAAACCGAAAAACGGTAAAGGGTTTAAGTTTACCCGTTTACCTTACTTAGGTTGGTTGTACGTAGGGGGTAGGGTTAGGTAGTTAGTAGTACTGTAAGTAGTGTATATATATATATATATATATATATATATATATAATAGGACCCTATTCTTGTGCCATTAGATCTGCATACACATCTCGAGGAGTGATGGGACACCAGCTCACCGGTAAAAGGAACCAGGTGAAATGGTTAAAGTCAAAAAGAAAAGAAAAGAAAAAGGGCACAAGTCCATGCGATCTCACGCTCTGCCATTAGACTCTTTCCTGATGAAGGTCGCTCTCTCTCTCCCTCACAGGTGGATTAAATGTTGAAAGATTGAGAGCACGGGCCCTTGCCTCTTCCGAGTTAAGAGAAGCCACACATAACTACGACAATCAATCACAATTACAGAGTGAGGGAGGGGACGGGGGGAGACAGTAAAAACTTGGGCCTGGGTTGGTTGTCAGGGGAAGAGAGAGAGAGAGAGATTAGCTAAATAAAATATCCGGCATATTAATCACAACCCCTTCATGAACCTCAATATTCATTTGAAAACTCAACAATTAGTAATGTTTGAAAACTAACATGAAAGGAACAAGACACCGGTCCTCCATTCATTTACAATGTAGAGAGAGAGAGTCCAATTGCTCAAAACATTGCATCAAACCTGTTGAAATTCCATTTATTTACAGTCTGGAGAGAGAGAAACCCATATTAAAAATACGAAAATGTTAGCACTTGATCCTCGGACAAATGCAAATGGGTCTCAAGAGGTGATGGTGAGAAGAATCCCATGGAGTTTGGGGGAATTCACTCATATCCAAAGAAGAAGAAGAATCACCATTATGCATATAACCGCAACAATTAGCCTATCAAAATCAGCAAAAAAGGTCGAACCGGGTGCTTCCCATCTCTCCTCCTCTTCCTTCATAGTGGGCAATGGGGCGTCAAGCCTAAATTCTCGACTTTCCGGGAAAAATTGCAACGACCCCACAAGCTTGACTTCTTGTTCTCCATGGAGGTAGAGAGAGAAAGAGATAGAGACAGAGGTTTCATGGGCTTTGCAGGCACGTGTGGAGCCAGAGGGACTGGATTGGTGAGGGCAAGAGGGAAGAGGATTTGCTATGTTAGAGCAGGACAAGGATGATTTTTAGAGAGAGAAGATTCAATGTGTAGATATGAGCAGGCACACTTGGGAGGCAGGGGCCTTTTTGGTTATGGAGAGAGAAAGGATTTAACTGTAGAATGTGAGAGAGAAAAGGTTTAATAAAAGAGCAAAAACCTCTCCAGGAGGAAAATCAGTGATTTCTACAGTAGAGAGAGTAATAAAAGTGCAAAAGACCAGTCCAGGAGAGACGTATTGGACACAGAAGACCCATTTCGTATAGAGTAGAGGGGGAGAATATAGTTTCTTAGAGGAAAGCGAGAGAGAGAGCGAGAGAAAGAGAAGCATGGACTTGGGTTCGCTTGTGTAAATCGCAGTGCTGGTTTAAGAGAAGTTGCAGTGCTGTTTCAAGGATAATAGAGTGCACGATAGAGATTTGACCGTCTTTACCTGTGAGCTGGCATCCCCATCTCTCCTTGAGATTTGGTGTCAGATCTGACGGCACAAGAGTGGGGTCCTATGCAACCCGTATGTGTGAGGGTCTCATAGGATCATTACTCTCTCTATATATATATATATAGTTTAATTTTTAGGCTTTTATGTGTTATGTGTTGTGCTATTTCAAATTTCTACATGAATTGGATTGAAATTTTAAATTGAAAGGCTTTAACTTTACAAGATTGAAAATTGCCAAAAATCCATATAAAATTGCATTTCATTACTCATCGAAGGCCAATTATGCAATTCCACATGACTTCACAATTGGTACTTAAATTGTTATGGTGGCACACCCCAATATTCCCCTCTCCATTTACCTTTTATGACTACTCCATAATAGAGGACGAACTTTAATTTGTCTTTTCCAGTGTTTCTTAAACCAAATCTGATTAACAAGTATATAGTTTACACAAAAATTGGTGTGTCACAAAGTTGTACACTCTGTTGCAAAATTGTGTCCCAAAATTGGGAAAGCTAAAGTGTACATTGTCAAGGGTTGTTAACAACCACTAGAGTTGAATTTCTGTTCATTTCTCATTGCGCAAGGGGATTGGACTACCCCAAACATAAGTGGAGTAAGTAGAGCATCCATGTAGCCGATCCAAAAATTTCCAAAAAATCTTGCTAAGTCACCATAGGGATTTGCTTTTCAGAGGGCCCACTTGATCCTGCTCACGGAATTCCCTTTGATCATTAAAGATCCCCATTCTGGATTATGTAATCTCACCCTATTGAGCAATGCAATAGCTTCAGCTGTCATAGCATGTATTTTGGGGATCGTTAGACCTGTTTGGTCTCTAAACCATCCCCTGAACCAGCTGGTCCTTGGATAGCTATTGAATATCTATCACAATTCAACTTGACTGAGCCTGAAGGTGGAGATGCCAGATAGACGGATGATGGCAGGAGATGGTTACAGTTGTGTGTGATAACTCTCCAATTCAATAGAAAATTGACTGCTGAGATCCTCATAAATTCTTTCTAGTGCTAGCATAGGCGATGATATTTGCTTTTATTTTTGTTTTCTATCAAGGTTTCCATAGTGGAATAAATCCTTCATAAATAAGATTGTTATGTTCTAACCAAATACCCCACAGAACAGCCAAAATGGACATCTACCACAAGAGAATATCTCGTCAGGCAAGGGGCAGGCCGAACCAACACTGAAAAAGGCTCTCAACGGAGTCTTGAAGTACCCATTGTACAGCAAATAACAGTGTCCCAACTTGCCGAACAGGTCACAGTGCAAGAATAGATGCTAGACCGATTCCTCATCACATCTTGCACAAGTCACATCTCTTTGATATTATGATACCTAAGTGAACAAGGTAATCTATTGTGACAACTCATCATGAGTAGTGAGCCAACCAAGAGCCGTTTTCATAGGGGAGCAGGAACAGCCCATGGCTTTCTAGCAATTGATCTAGGCAAAGATAGGCATACTAACAAACTACAAAAATATTTACCAATGAACACTTGAGGGGTTGGGAGCCTAGATCATAGAATCTTCTCCTTCAATTGCATGAAAACCTTGCTGATTGTTGCCAAAAATACTTGGTCAGACCGACAGCTCTTCATCTTGTAAATTTCGTCTTAGGAGTAGGACACCAATCATCACCCCCCTTTCTCTCATAGGCTTGTACCTGTGGCCTCTTGATCCATAACACGAGAACAAGATAAGAAATCTGTTTGCAAGTCTGGCCTTACCCTGTTTCAACGACCCACCAAAAAGCTGGTGTAGCGATTGAAGGTGGGCCTCATTGGACCTTCTCCTTTACAAAAACCAGAGTTCTGCTCAAGCGAGCCATGGCTGGCAGCAATCACCTAATGAGAGTTCAGGCTATATCTGCTACTAAACACCTAGTTCCATAATTGTTCATCTGCATGGCCATCAGCTAACCTCAGTGGCTATTTACCCAGCAGCATTAAGTTCAGATCTCATCCTTCGAGTCCCAAACCTAGCTTTGATAGGTAACCAAAACTTGTCCCGTTTGACAAGATTTGAATGTGCAATTCCCATCTCATAAAAATGTTAAATGTTGCTGGTGTTCCATCTTGGTCAAATCGCTAGTTGGTAATTTTAAAAGTGGCATAGATATATTGGTACATTGCTTAGGGCTGCCATACTGAAGGCAATCCTGCCCCCTACCACTTTCAAGTAGCCAGCTTACATTGGACCCCTTCGGTAACCCCATTCCCTTTCAATAACCCCAGTAGTAGATGGTAAGATCCAAACAATTCGATAGCAAGGGGTCAACCTTGCACCTAAACAAGAAGGAAGCCTATATTGGTCTGTCTCTAGGACCCCAACACCGAGTAACCTTGTTTTCTGAAAGCTAACACGAAGACCTGAACAGAATTCAGAACATTTCCAAATTAACAACCAATCAACCTGGGCAACGGTGGGTTGACAGAAGATTTGGTTATCCTGTACATATTAGCGAGAGATCCTAGTTCCATTACAAGAGCTAAGCGTGCTTGAAAGTAACCCCTGAGAATGGACATGATTGAGGATCCTAATGAGGGCCTCCGCCACCAAAGCAGATAAGAAAAGAGGCAAAGGATCTCCCTGTCTCAAACCTCTGGTGCAGGGAACGTGCTTGACAAAATTAAAGAGATTTGCCGAAGTACATCCTTGATCGACCCGAAGTACATCCTTGATCGACCAGCTCCAATTTTGGCCAAAGCCCATCTTTTACATAACCTCATAAAGGAAGGGCTAATAGGCTTTCTCCGTGGCAGGTTTGTAAATCAAGCCCTTGGATTTTGACTTATGGAGATAGTCTATGCTTTCGTGACTTTTGGTTTACTGATGGTATGGCCGTTGATAGAAAAGAATGGAGGAACAATATTCATGTAGTTTACCCCAAATAATAGGGATAAGGCATGGATGATGATGATGAGATAGTCTATGCATTCATGGGGCAGTAGGGCCCCTTCAAGAATTTGTCTACCGATGACAAATGCTCCCTGAGATGAAGAAATGGCCTTGTGCAGTCTTGACATCAAAATCTGTTACACTCTCTGCACCTTCCACTTAGGGGATAAATCGATGAAGGTCATATTCGTAACTCTACACCTACGGTAGTGTCCCGCTCATGAAACTCCAAGAATATTTTGAGGAGGTCCTCTTGCATATCGTGCCAGAATAGTTTGATATTGCTAAAGCCATCAGGCTAGGTGCCATCAAAGACAGCCTTCCTAATCTCTTCCATAATAAATGGCCATTCAAGCTATAAGGCGGAAGATTCTGAAATTCGATCAAACTGTACCTGATGCAGTGCATGAATTATCTGTAAAACCTAACTTCGGCAATATTAAATGATAATTGGTTTCACAACTGAAATACCAGGTCGCTGGGCTTTATATTTCATTTATTTTCTAAATTTAATTTGATTTTATAACATATAACCATGCTTTATCTTATTTATTGCATGCTAAATATAACTCATAGGGTTTGTCACAATTCATGTTTTAGGTAGAAGATTTCATGCTGAGACTAAAATGGAATACCCACATGATGTATTTAAGCATAATATATTACACATCTAAAATTGCATAAACTGAACTTTCAGTGAGCAGATTGTATGGAAAAATGGTGTGATATATAATTTAGCATGTATGATGTGTACATTGTTCAAAAAAATGCTCCGCCCATTGCCTAGACGCCCAAATTGTTCAGTTGTTTCCAAAGAACATCCCTTTGAAGTGTTCCCAGCTCACCTCTGGAACAAGGGCAAAACGTAACCTAGATGCTGCATAATGTCTCATTAAGAAGGTGACCTTGCCGGTAAGAGAAATATTCTGACTTCTCTAAGGATCTCATTTCCTCTCTCAAATTCTTCCACTTAGGTCCCTCCTCACACCCCACGAAACTCCACTGTACGCTTCTTCAAGTCAAACTTCATCAGGTTGCTCTTACTGATGTTACTCCTCGCGCCTAGACACCAGTTCATGTCATTTATCGGTCGACCTTAAATTATCCATCTTAAGAAAGCTCACTTAAAACCAAATAGTGGAATTCTCGGCTACTGCAAAACAGCCATGTAATCCTTAATGAAGCGAAACACAGAGATTTCCATCCACGCGTATTTTATTTTCTTCAGAACTTTGCAAGATAAGATTCTTTTGTTTGTGATCTTATCATCAGAAGTCCCCTCCCTGTTGGATACATTCAGACATTTTGTTTTCTTTTTTATTGATTAGAAGATGGTGAAGTATAGTGCTTATTATTATGGCACCTGCAGGATAACGGCCTCGTACCCATTGTCGAGCCTGAGATCCTTCTTGATGGGGACCACTCCATTGACAGAACCCTTGAGGTGGCAGAGAAGGTGTGGGCTGAGGTATTCTTCTACTTGGCAGAGAACAATGTCATGTTTGAGGGCATCCTTCTCAAGCCCAGCATGGTGACTCCTGGGGCTGAACACAGAGAGAAGGCCTCCCCTGAGACCATTGCCCAGTACACCCTTAAGTTGTTGAACAGAAGAGTCCCACCTGCTGTTCCTGGGATCATGGTACATCTCTCTCTCTCTGCCTGCACACTTACTATTCTGACGAGATAGAAATATATCTTGAACCATGGCATTTGGGGGGAGCATTTGCCTCTATAACATGCACACACACGTACACAAGCACAATTAAGATTTAATTGAACATGAGCAAGGGACAAACTAGTGCATTTGTCACCCACATCTTTTGTTTGTGTTGTTTGTGTGAAATTTGCAGTTCCTGTCGGGTGGCCAATCAGAAGCGGAGGCAACCTTGAATCTGAACGCAATGAATCAAGCACCAAACCCATGGCACGTGTCATTCTCCTATGCTCGGGCCCTGCAAAACACAGTGCTCAAGACATGGCAGGGACACCCTGAGAACGTGGAGGCCGCTCAGCAAGCATTGCTCGTGCGTGCCAAGGCGAACTCCCTCGCCCAACTTGGCCGTTACTCAGCTGCAGGCGAGAGTGAGGAGGCCAAGAAGGGGATGTTTGTTAAGGGTTACACCTACTAAATGTGGATGATGGATGGTGTGAAAGGCACCCCCTGCCTTTTTGTGATATGAATTTCCAGGGATCTTGGCTACCGGATCATAGTGTGATAATGTATGATGGCAGTGCTTAGGAGTTCTTAGGGAGTTTTCGAGTTTGGTAGTGAGAGGACATTAGAACCAGCTCCAGCTACAAGGCTTTTCTAATTAGTTTGTCTGTAATGGTGGTTTGAATAATCATTTCCTGAAGTTGGAATCGTAAATAGACAATCCATGTCCATTAGTTCGAAATTTCTGATGAATCTTTTTTGTGCTTAAAGACAACTCTCTCTCGCAAGAGATTTCCTAAGAATGCAAAGCAAAATTGTGGAGCGATTTTTTGTCGCGTGTTTTAGTTGTTAGTCTGCATTTATCAGAAGGCGAGAATTTATTTGACTGCTTGTGTTGGGACATTAAGCTCTACTTTTCTACTGTATTGGCGTGAGGGATGGCATTTCGTGGTAGCGAGGCGGCTTTAGAGGGCCACATGTCAGATCTTGCTGGCAAATGCGGATTTGATGTCGAGAAAACTTGCAAATTAATCATCCCAACTTTAAGAATAATGGATTTGAAAAAAATGAATTTGAAAGTTTATAACTGGTCTTTTATAAATATGGTTTTTGTATTGTCCACATTTCAAGTGGTTTAGAAATGGCTAAGATTTTTAGTTCTGAAATTGCATTTTCAAGAGTCTAATGTATGCCTTCGACAAATAATAAAAACCAAAAGCAGGACTTGGACAGTAGAAACAATTGAATATATCAAAGAAAGAAAATAAGATAAAATTGATTTTGATCTATTTTTGTTATCAATTATATACTAGTTTGAATTACGATGTGTCACATATGCAATTACTTGTTGCAGATTAACTACAATAATAACGATACCATATCCCCATCCCCATTACATCCTACACTTAATAAGCGAACAACCCCATTTCAATTTCAAAGTCCCAAAGAGAGCTTGTAGCAGATTAAATAAAATCATAACCACATCCCATCCCCATTACATCCTACACTTAAGCGAACAACCCCATTTACACTTAATAAGCGAACAACCCCATTTCAATTTCAAAGTCCCAAGAGAGCTTGCAGGAGATTAACTAAAATCATAACCATATCCCATCCCCATTACTTCCTACACTTAAGCGAACAACCCCATTTCAAAGTCCCAAGAGAGAATGTTCAAAGTCCCGAGATAATGTGCAAAGTCCTAAGAAAGAATGTTCAGGTAGACATGACAATAAAAAAAAAATAAATACACTAATTGCAGTGAAAATCTACATTTCTCTCATTGTCTATGTATCACCCTCGATAGTTATTCTTTGTTAAAGGTGCTTAAAATATGAGCACTAAGCCACTTCTATAGTGCACTATCAAGTTTTTTGGCTTTTTTGGTAGTGATTTATCCATTGTTTATATTCTCTAGGATATGAAATACACTAAATTTATTGTACGTTCTTTGGTGCAAATTGCGTTCTTCTTTTTTAAGATTTATTAAGATTTTGCATTTTTTTTCTAACACATGTTTTTTTCCTTTGCCTTATATATTTGTATATTTTTGGTGTTTTCATCAAATATATATGAGCTTTTTTCCATCTTAATTACAATATAGATGATCAGAGACCAGCATGGTCTATAGTGCTAATATCATCGTAGTTGGTCAGAGAAAGATTTTACATTAAAATTTCTCGAGTATTTATTGACTATTGTTTGAAAATCATATTGTGATTTATTTACTCCTTTTATTCCTATACCGTATAGGTGGGTGGGGTCACATAGAAAGCAAATATCACAAAAAAAAAAAAGAAGCAAAAAAAATGCAACAAAAGGAAAAAAAATGGGCATAGTTTCTAATTTTTTTTATAAAAAATAGTAATTGAATACTTTTAAAGCCTTACAATTTTGTACCTTCAGTTACAAATTCTTAAAATTAAAAAATAATCTATTAAAGCATGAAAACACACTGATTAACGTATTTTAGGAGGAAAATTGAGATTTCTAAATTACAAAGGGAAATAAATAAAAGTAGACATTTTAAAATCCAACAAAGTAATTTTTGAGGAAGGGACAATATTTTTATTTTTTTTCCTTTTTACTTTCATGACTTCTTGAAAATAAAACACAGTGACAAATGAAATTTTTTGGTTTTATAGTAATTAGAATATGATCTATTTAAATTAAACTCTTAAATTCTACAATAATTTTATCTAAATAATAATAAATTTATTTTTTCATAATGTTGATAATATTTATTAATATTATTAGTGTATTTCATGTGTGCATATAATATTCATAACTTTGCTTTATTATTAATTATGATGATCTTCCCATATTTGTTGTATTGTATTACTTTTTAAGAAAAAAATATTTTATTTCTCAAACTTTCTACGGGTACTGCTATCATGATGTCTATATTGCAAGACCAACCATGCACACTTCTTTTCGTCTATAGCTTGTTCAATCTTTCTCCATTAAATAACCTTTCACTAATCTTTGATCCCTATGGTTAACAAAATATATATTAATAGATAGGAGCATGATTCTCCTTGAACTTAAAACCTATCAATGGAAACACTCAACCATAATAATTAAAAAGGCTAAAAAAAATCAACCAATACTCTAATAATCTATGAAAAGTGCTTGGCGAATAATGTGATGCAAAAACAAATTTAAATACAATCATTACTTATAACATTGAGCAAAAAGAAGAAAAGATATTCACCTCCAATATGAAGAAGAACACCATAATAGCTTAGAGACTATAAGCGAATATGTGATATATATGTGAGATTTGAGAGGGAGATGAGTTTATTGAGACATGATTTAAAGAGATAAACATATTTGCTTGTTGTTTAGGAAAGAATAAAAGGAGGCCTAGAGAATGATTTGGGATCTTAAATTTAGAAATCCTAAAATAGGTGCGTATATTTTTGGATAAATAAATAAGTACGTATTATAATATAATGGATTTATTTTATGGATTACAATATATTTATCTTAAATTTTGAAAATACAATCTCTCTTAAATTTAAAATAAGTAATGATCCTATGAGACTCTCTCATGTGTGCAGGACCCCAAGGGATCACCGTTAATTTTGGTATAGATCTCTAAAAAAGTCAAAGTCCCATACCCATGTAATAACTTTTCTAGAGATCCGTGTCAAATTTAATGGTGACCTTTTGGAGTCCTACACACATGAATGCGAGAGGGTCTCATAGGATCCTTACTCATAAAAAAATAAGTGCGTATTTTCTTTCTTTTGTTTACCCTTCACGCACAAATTTTAGGAAAAAGTAAGATCAATAAAAAATCCTATTTCTCAAAGCTTTCATGAAAGTATATCATATCTCCTAAAATCTCTCATTCTCTCTCTTTTGTGCATACTTTCTCTTTCTCAAAGTCTCTCATTATCTTTCTATCCTGCGCACTCTCTCTTTATCAAATTAACATATTTGAAACAATCTCTCTAACTCTTTCTCATCAAGATAGGAAAACATGGTTGAGATCTATTTCTTATGTGTGCACATATTGTCTCGCTTCCCCTTCCCTATACTGAAGAATGTGTCCTACAATATCTATAGAATTAGGGGCCTTTTTTATTTTTGTGACAGGTGACCACCTAAATGTAGTATAGATAAGTGAGCAGGTGTCCTTGTCCTTCTAATGTTAATTATGTTGTATTAATTCTTTATTTATTCTATATTGATTATTACTTTAATTTTTTATCTTTCTATTTAATTTATATCATTTTTTTTTCTTTGATAATATGCAATTGATTAGAGAGATTTTAAGTAACGAATGACCCCATGCATAAGCTATAACCCCACGTATATAGTATAATTCATGAATGATATTACGTATTAATTGACTACTATTATGATTACTGCATGCAATTATTATTGAGTTAATTATTATCAAAATAATATCATCTTTACATTATTAAATTTGCTTTATCTAACGTTTTTTATAGACTACTACATCAAACTTTTATGGGTGTGGTTTGTACAAGGATTCAAATAAAACCATCGTGCACCTCCAAAAATTTTAATAAGGATTCAACTAATTTTATGGGTGTGGTTTGTACAAGGATTCAACTAATTTTAGTGACAGAAATTTTAACAAGGTTCCAAAAATCTACTTCGCATCTAATTATGAAATTGTACAAGTGGAGCAGATCCATAAGTAAATGGAAATCTTGAAAATGGCCGGTTTAGATGATTTATTACAAGATGTACTATTTTTAGGATTTTAATTTATTTATTTATTCATTTCCTTGACATCTTCACAACTTGAGGTGGAGATGATTAGTTAGAGGGATTTTCAGCATTGGAACAACCTTTTGTGATGGATTTTTAAAGCATGTCTTTTTTGCATTAAAGGTTTCAACCTTATATGAACTTTTTCTAATTTTTATGAACTATTACAAAATATCATATAAACAATTTACTCATTTTAATAAAAGAAAATGTTTGTATAAAGTGTTAACCTTATATTATATAAGTAAGGTGTACCTCAAAAATCTACCTTAAAAGATTGTTTCGATATTGAAAAACCTTACAATTGATTATCTCCACCTCAAAATATACGAATATATAAAACATTGGATTTCAAGTCTTAAAAGTATTGCATCTTATAACATATTATCTAAATCATCACTTTTCAATATTTTCAAGCAAATATAGCTATGTTTAATCTGCACTATATTTGAAGTTTTAATTTCATAATTAGGAGTAAAAATAGATTTTTTTTATTTTGACCATTGTAAGGGTTTTCGGCACCTGAACAACCTTTTCGGGTGGAATTTCTTGGTATACTTTGCTTTTATAGGGTAAGTTTGACAATGTATACAAACCACACCTGTTAAACAATAAATGTCTAATAGCACAAAGAAATACTCAGTCATGTTTTCTGATTTGTTATATTATTTTTCATAGTACTTTTAACAAATCACATTACCTAATGTGACCTGCAAAACGAATGCATGTCACTAGCAAGTTTTAAAGGGTAATTATTTCATGCAACAGTTCTATCATAGTATACTGCAACCACACCTCTAGAAAATCATGCTTTTTGGCATTTGTATGACCCCAAAATTTGCACAAACCTTTTCTTCATCCTAATAATTAATCTCAATAAAAATAAAATTCAATTTGCACTTTAGACATGGTCAAAATAAGTCCCTCCAATAACATTACGTAGACCATTTATTTGGTGAATTTCAAGATCTAGACCTTTACAAACTCAAAATCAAATTTTTTTTTTTTTAACATTGACTATCTAATGATAATAAACCCAACTAAAGAGATTTAAAAGAAAAAAAAATCCTTCTAAGG